AGGATTGAAGGAATAGTGTGACATCTAGGAAAATGTCACTATATTCCTAATTGAGAGTCAGATGACAAGATTGATACCATTCTCACGTCTAGACAGCAACAGATTTTGTTACCACTGGAATGAGCAAGGCTAGCTGCTTCCCTGTTTCCAGTCATTGTGCTAAGCTATGCTAAGTGATCGTAGATTCATATTTACCATACAGACATGAGATTGGTATCAGGGTGCGTCCACACTAATACATTTTCATTTTAAAACAAAATTGTCTCCATCCAGACGATCGTTTTAGCTCCGTATCAGAAATAATCTTGGTCCATACTAATGCACCTAATGTCCCTACCAATATATTGGAAAGACAGAACTGTCCCTATCAAAATTTGAGTGAACTCGTTCTATGTTTGGAGTGAAGTAATATTAGATCATTTCAATGTGGCCTCCAAGAGGCTACGTCTCCAAGACAAACGATTTAGGCATGCTGGCATTTGCTTGACTGAAAGGGCGTGACTATCTGAAGGCTTACGTCACGTGAGAATATCACAGTGGTACCTGACATCACCAGAGAACGTCAACTGATGTTATTTAACCATGTGAGCTAGCGTTAACGTGCAAGCTAACCCTGGCTTCTGTCTTCTGTAGGCTAGCAGTCGGGTTGCCCAGCAGGAGTGAGCATTACCATATTACGAGTCTTTTAAGCCTTACTATACAATGACTTTATGTCTTACTATACTACAATTTTTTTTATGAATTACTATACTATAACTATGATGTTTCTATGACATTTTACGCTGTATTACACTATAACGTTTTAATTACATTTTCTGCCTTATCATACTATGGCATCTTTATGACGTTTTATGCCTTGCAATAGTATGAAGTTTTTATGCCTTACCGTACTATACATTTTTTACTATACTAAGTAATTTTATTTATTTTTTTGCATTTTATGCCTTACTATGAGATTTCATGCCTTTGTGTACTGACATTTGTATGCCATAATATACTAAAGCATACAATGTGGTCTGGCCAGCAACAACATAAAAGTTCTTATCATTGGGGTATCACAGTGATAGGCCTTACTATGAGAAAAAAACCCCAAAAAAACAATGAAAGGAGTTTTTAAACATGTTTAATGTTTTTATGGATAATTTCATTTAAAAACATTTATATACAGTATATATATATATATATATATTTTTATTTTTATCTTTTCACACAAATCGTACTGTTTTGCAAATTATTTGCATGCCCACTTGCAATACATTCACAGTCCACCAGTGGGCCCCAGCTCACAGGTTGGGAACCACTTGTAAATCTTTTGAGAGAGAACTGGACTGCTCAGCTCTATTTCCTACTTTTTAGATTCTAGATCACTTGTCAGTCACAAATAAAGAAACAGAGTGAGAAAAGAAAGATTGTAAAAGAACATTAGACAGATATAAACCAAAACGGACAAAAGGCGACCAGCCATTGGGGCCTCGTTGCCTAAAAATCAGAGACTGCAGGTGCGTGGACTGGAAAACTAGTCTTTATTTGAAATGATTTTCCTGCTCATCAGTGACACACTTTGGCCACAGGCTGAGGACCAACACATGGATCTGAAGTCTGTCAATCTGCCAGTGTTTCACAGAGTAGCAGCAAGATAGCATACAGTAATTCACACATTGTTACACACATACTTAAAACCAAACTGACACAGGACATAAAACACACAACATTCACATCTTCTCCTATGCACTCCTTTATACACACCCAGGGACCCTGAGAGCTAGTGTTTCTTTGTCTTATCACTTTTCTTCTTCTCTTGGTATTCAAGGATCTTTTTGTGAAATATTCCTGCAGGACAAAGAACAGGATCATAAATCAGTGCACTGTAAAAAACCCCAAAAAACAGTTGCTCCAATAAGAGCTCAAGTTACAAGACCCAGTAACTTAATTAAATCTGAAATGTGATAACTAGACACTATACATTGGCCAGACTGAGTTAGTTAATAAGGGTGAGTTGATTTACTTAAATTGGTTGGTTTTTTTGTGTAGACCTACACTGTAAAAGTTAGTTTTTCAAATGAGTGATTTTACACATGCCAGCTGTTGGGGGTTGGATGCTAGCAAGGAGCAGAGCCTTTAGTATCTTTAATGCTACTCTCCTATTCCTAATGCTATTCTCCTACAGATGCACATCACACTCACATAAGGAGAAAAAAAAAGTAATGACCTGATCTCAAAATGAGATTCAGATCTCGTAACGATAAGATCTGTGGTCCCTCTAATCAATGGAGCTGTAGGGACAGTTTTGGCTTTTAGAATAATTTCCTTATACCAGAAATAATGAGATCAGATGTTACAATGCTGCTTTAATTGGCTCTGACAGAGAGACATGAAAATATTAACCCAAAAAATTGAATTGTTTATTTTTTGTTTACTGGGGTGTTCACAAGCTGCTCACAATCCTCACCTGACGGCTGTCGTCCAGGCTGCTGCTGCTCCACCTCCTGGATAAACAGGTCAAACATCTGTGTCTGGATGAACCTTTTGACAAAGTGTCGAGTAGTCTTGGAATCAATGGCCTTGTAGAACCTTCTCTTTTCAAACACCCCCTGCCCTCCTGCATGGCTGTATTTCACATAAGAGCTGTAATGGCCGACTGTTTTAACAAAGAACTGTAGGAAGGCTTCCGACACCACCCGGTTCAGCTCCTCCACCGCTGAAAGAAAGGACAGAAAACATTTGTGATGATGGAACTAACTAACTGTTCCTAACTGATACACCTGTGTTTGACTTTGGTTGCAATTCACTCACTTGATTTGTTTTGTCTTGTACTTAGTACCTCTCGTATTTCAGTTTGGAGCTTCGGGGGAAGAATAGAGTCTTCATCACCAATCTGAAAAATATTTTGAAATTTGAACTTTGACAAAATGTTTGTTTCCTGTGAAGTTCAAAATAATAAGTGATAACCAAAAGATTTACCACATTTTTGTTGATAAAACACTTACTGAAACAATGAAGGTCTTCGTTTTATCCTCAGACAAGTCGACCACCAGCAGCTGTGTTACAGGGAGAAGAAAGGGGCAGAGGGAGGAGGTCACTCCAATTCACTAAAAAGTTCAAATACACAAAACCTGCCTTTGTGCAAATTAAACCAAGTTATGGTTGCTTTTAAAATTGTTTTGCTGTGTTCTCAGTGATAACTCACATCACTCTGGTCGGTGACCTCGTCCAGCAGGCGTTTCTGGACTCCCAGCAGGTAGGGGGTGGGTGCCATCACTACATCGATCAGGATCTCCGGAACAATGGAGATGAAGGTGTGCTGCCAGGTGAAGGGGTAAAGGAGGGCTGCTACTGCATGAATGACCTGGGATAACGTGCTGCAGAGAGACAAGAGAGCTGACATCAGAGCTGTAGCCATATTCAAACCAATCAGAATACAGCTACAAACCAAATAACCAATCAGAATAGAGCTACAGACCAACTATTTTATTCTTAAACAAATGAGAAAATAGTGATACATATCCATGACTCTACATGCATCGTTTTGTCTGATAAACAGAACAAAATCCAAATGGTCAAACAATCATCAGCTTTGAGAAAAATGTTTGAAAACATTTGTGTTTGATGGACGACAATTCAAATCAAAATCGATTATCAAAATTTTTGCCAATTATTTTTCTGTTGACCGACTCATCAGGAACCCGTGACTGCAGTCTAGCATTGCAAATCTTTGGTAACCATCTTAGACGATGATTTCCTTTGATGCCAACACTGATGTTATTTATAAAAAGGCAAACCAAGGAATGGTTTTCTTCTAGCTCAGAGGAGTTAGTGTTGAAAAGACTGTTTAATGTTTTTTTTTTATTGAATGAGCTTGAGTATGTCTCAATGTCTTTTTCTATGTGAGTGTGTAAGTAACTATGTATTACCCCAGTTCATCAGCGATGAAAACGATCCGTCTCTCCAGGACAGCAGCAGCAAACACCAGTAACACCTCGTCATCTGTCAGGCAGCTGAAAAGCTTGGCGAAGTTGACGTGTTCGAGCCAGGAATCCAGTGGACGGGTCAGACTGATGATCTAGTGGAGAGTAACCACTGTCACAAATAATATCAACAGTGGTACCAGCCTGTCATCACTCAAATGACATGTCACCGACTTTCAGCTCTGACTACACACCACTGTTTGTGAAGGCACTACAGCCTTGTTTAGTTATAAAGGAAGGGATGAGCTACAATTTATTTTATTGGTATTTCATGATCTATTCTTCCACATTACATTATTGTACGTAATTAGAGCAACACAGTTACTACCATTATGAACAAGACTCTACGGAGTCAGTGCACAGAACCATCTCCTTGTCCTTCTTTCAACCTGAGGGCTGGTCACATTAGCAGTGTACTGTAGCACAAACAATGGCCAGAATCAGTGAATACTTGAGATGACTGAGAGCTGTTGAAACATGGTATGTGGCCTGTTGGGAGAAGGGAGGTAAAGGTTGGGTAACGAAGGACAGGTTTAGACACAACTCCACACAAACACACCCACCTGGAGGATCTCATGTGTCACTGGGTTGCACTGCACTACACACTCTGTGTGTAGGTTTGTGGGAGTATTTTTTTTTTTTGTTCTTTAAGCCTGTTCTCTACGGTCTACTCCACAACATTTCAGAGGAATAGAGGAGAATCAGTAATGACACAACAGCCTCTGCATCTATGTTTATCAGTTCTGAAGAGCTGGGGAACTTTCCACCAGCACAGTTCTTTGGAACTTGTCCCGTCTACAGTTGTTACTTTAATTTTACTAGCTCAATGTTTTCCTCTTGTGTCACTGAATGAAGTCATACTTCCTTGATGCAGCTTGGCTGAAGTCCCAGGCAACTGGTCAATGTTGGGACACACAAGTTACTGTGGAGGAAGTAATCCCATTTTCACACATCATTTTAGGCTGCCTGAAATCTCTGAGATATACTATATATATCCTGTCTAGAGGATTTATAATATAATTATATTGTTGTATTTTATGTTTCAGGTAGAAGCGATGCTGCCACTTCACAGCGGCTCAAAGTTATATTTGTCAAATGCCAAAGTACAATGTAAAGTAAGCACAGCAGTGAAATGAGGGCCGGACTTGGCAGCAGGGGAGACTATGCAAAACTGCAAAACTGCAAAACTGCAAAACTGCAAAAAACAAAAAAACAAAAACAAAATCCCCCAAAAAACTGATATTATGAAAAGTATTGCATTAGGCGGAAAGTTTTGCGATATTCAATATATATTATATATATATTGAGTGGCATGTCCAAGTTTAAGCAGGAGGTGGGTCTATAAACTGTGATGGATGTTTACAACAGAGAGTTTGGGTGATAATTTTACAGTTTATCATCATTTTCTCCTCCAGATAAGTTTGACTAACCCAGAGGGTTGTTTCCAACCTGTCGGATCATCTAACGGCTTTTTAGACAAATAACTTTGTGAGAACAATGTTATTGAAATTGACTGTAAACTACAGTAAAACTGAGCTATTCTGAAATTTGAAAAAACTCTGATTTTAACCCCATCAAATCGAGATCAGCTGCCACCAAGACATCTGCATGGTTTTTATTATAACACAAAAACTTTAAGTGGACTGTTCAGAGCATGAAGGAGGGGTTTTGGTCTGACCTCAGTGCCCGACTCAGGAATGAAGCTCTTAATCTCCACAGTGTTTCCCGGAGCTGGGAATGGGGCCTCCCGCAGCTTCTGCATGAATGGGTAGATCATAGCCATGGAAATCTGCCGCCGCTTCTCCACCTCATCAAATATCTGCACACACATAGGAGATCACAGTCATGATGCTGTATAAATAAATAGTAATAACCCAACTCATTCTTAATTAAATTTCGAGGACTTTATTTTAAAGTGTACTCTAAAAGATACAGGTAGTCTCTCAAGCAGTGGGGTAATGTGCTCCTTTCTTAACTTTACCACAAGTTACTGTTCAAATAAGACTGAGAAAACATTGGGAGGTGGTATTACCAGTACTACAACAATTTATTTCCACACCACCGGCTCCATCAGTGCAGCGACAGCCACACTAATCAGTCTGCTGAGAACACTGTCACCATATAAGATGTTGGTGGGCTTTACAGAGGTGTCATAGAATTACAATAATGTACACAATTACTAATAGAGATACATGTAAAGCTCCTTCTGAATTAAAACGTTTCAACTTCAGCTTATGTTTTTAACACGAAGAAGAGATACAGTATCAAGGCAGCGCTGTTTTACTGTCAGACTGTAGTGAAGTCTGAGCTAACTCAAAGTACGGCTGGTTGAAGGCAGGATTTTATTTATTCAGTTCAGTGTTCAGTTATATTCTCTGAAAATGTTATTTCCAAACATTAAACAGTCTAAGGACTGTTTAACACTGCCAGGAATCAAATCATGGTGGAGAAATACTGAATCATTTATTTATATATTTATTTGCCAAATTCAAAACACACTGAATATACAAATACCAGATATAAAATATTAGTCCACACAGTCATTTTTTCAAATCAACGCTTTGCTATCATTGAGCTCCAGGCTGCATTTTAACAAGTGACTCATACAACTAAACAAACACAAACTCACCTGACACAGGTGTGTCTCCTAGTTAGTAATCAACAGCCAAGACGCCCTTGACACACTTATAGTTCTGTTAATATTAAGTCAACACAGAGCTGCTCTTACATACAACATACCAATACTGTATGTAGAAATCAGTACATATGGCGGTAGTACTACTGTACTGATATTGGACTCTTTCTCTGTAAGGTCTAAAGCACTTTAGATGTTTATTCTTCTCCACCACTCGTCTCGCAGATACCAGATTCATTCTGCAGGACAACCAGAGGAACAAGTGACTGTGGCAGGTTCTCCAGGATGTTTGGAACAACCTACCTGACAACTCAAGCTACTGTCGCTGTTGCTAACTGCACACTTGCCCTGCAGCTACAATGTGTTAATATTAATACTTAATGCCTGCTCTCCAGTTACATTTGAACAGCATTGGTTACAGCATGATGCTGACGACACTAACTGACAGAGTGACTTAATAACTCCCTGTTCATGTAGAAATGTTTTTTTCTATAGATATAAAGTTTTTGTACAGAACAAAGAATCCAAAGTTGCAAAAACATCAACTAACTGCTAAAAACCACCCGTCTTTATTTCCTCTTTCAGGTGCAGAATGGGAGGGGCAGTATATGAACTCAATATGGCCATATAAACAATGCAAGGGTGTGACACACAAACAAAGCAACAGGCAGGTCACAGCAATGGAGCCCAAGCATGTACAGTGTACTGTGTATGAGCTTTGACAGCCGGCAGCTTCACTATGTTCAACCCAGCAAGTCAGTGAATGTTTCCTGCAGGAGCCGAGCTCTGATGGCTCTCAACTGCAGGTAAGACATGGGACCAGCTTCAAAGTCCATGCACCAGATCATTTTAACAAAACACTGTTATACTGTCACCACTTGTTTCTTAGCTGCACAACACGCAGAAAACAGATCCACCACATCCTGTACCGTGTAGCATTCATCTCCCTGCAGGGCAGTCTCTGTCAGTGATACAGTAAAAGTATTTCCACATATTACTTAGTGAATGACCCGAATCATTAGCCCAGGCTGAGCTCATTGTAAAAACAGAGACTGTCAGATAAAGGCCGAAGACAGGAAAGATTTTTCTCACTCAGGGAACACAAACAACTTTGTCTTGGACTTGGTGTGACATTTATACACCCTCATGTTTCGCTGAAGCCCCACATGGAACAGCTTTAACCAGAGGATACTGTTTGCCTAGGGAGGGAGCAGACAGACATGCGGCATCTCCAGTCACTTCTTTTCACTGGTCCTGTAATATTCAAGAGAATTTTGCTCCTCCCCCAAAGAGTAATCATATTTACCAAACCAAACTGGGTCTGTGTTGAGTGTTTATGACCTTCCACTTCCCACAATGTGGTAAAGTCTAACTTGCCACATACTGAACCAGGCACATATCAAGATCAAGAACAGAAGTCACACACAGTTCAGAATGACTGAACCAGCTCCTAACACAGTTCTGTGTTTAGAGAAGTACAGCTGATTACAGCCACATTAAGAAATAAACTGACACTCACAATGTTTCCTTCTTTTGTTCGGTTGACTCACCTTGGAGAAGAGGCCGAAACACGCCAGGCTGCTGATGATGCAGTACGCCTCAGGTGGGCGAGCTCCTTTCCCTCCAGGCTGCAGGTCGGAGGGTAAAATAGAGAATATTTAATGAGCGTTAGAAAATGATGACACGCTGACGGTTTCAGACTAAACACTGACCAGTAACCTCCTGCAGTATCCGTTTCTTCTGCTGCCATCAACCTCAGTCAGAACAAAGGAGAAGGTCTCACTGCAGACAGAAGAGGAAAAATCATTACACTGATGTAAAGTTGTATACAGGAGTTTGGGTGTCCTGAGCAAGAGATTTATTTAGCTGATATTCGAAGTGAAAGTAAATTTTGTAAAGAAAACCCCTGCATGAAGCTAACTGCTATAAAAAGATATCAAAATGCTTCCAGCTTGAAATTTCCACTGTCTGAAATGTTATTAAGTTAAGGAGGCCTGTGGAAGTGAAGATACGCCAGAGTGGTTTTGGAAACAAGTGCTGTGAACAGGTGAAGTTAAAACTGAGCTCTTTAGCCACGATCACCAAAGGTGTGTTTGGAGAGAAAAAGGAGCAGCGTTTTCAGCTGTTCAGCATGGGGGATGGAAATATTGTGCTTTGGGGTTGCATGGCAGTCAGTGACACAGGAAACACTGCACAGATAGTGAGAAGAATGGATTCCACTATATATCAGGAGCCGTTCTGCAGTCAGTCGAGAAAATGAAAGTGAAATCCACTCACAGACTCCTGACCTTAACCTCAATGAGGCTGTGGGGACATGTTAAACCTGCTGTGTGAGTCGGAGCATGAGAAAGAGGCTGAAAATCCCTCAGTCCTGAACAGAGAGACTGAGCAGCTATAAGAAGTGTTTGCAAAAAGTCATATTTCGTGGGTAAAGTGAGTATTTAGTCCTGATGGATTTAGGTGCATTGACTTTTACACAAGACAAAATTATTGTTTACTTTTTGTTAACAGAGCATTAATATTTAAAGAAAGTGTAATTTTCAATGGCTCACTGTCTTCAATATCTACTGCAGGGTTTGGATTCAACAAAATATGGAATTTGCCTCGGGATCAAACAGCTGTACCTGTGGTATTCTGTCAGAGGAGCCCAGTTGATGCCCTCTGGGAAACAAAACAGAGTGATTGCCTTCAGCGTCTTCTCCTCCTCCTCCTTCTGATATCTCACCATCCCATCTCTCTGAAAGTACACACACACACGCACGCACGCACGCGCGCGCGCACGCACGCACACCTCTGCTCTTTAAAAAAAAAAAAAAAAAAAAAACCTACACACGCTACATAACAACTTGATTTCCTGCTTCACAGTGGTAACAGACTGAAACCTTCAAGTGTCTGTATCTGATTTTATTTTCTTTAAAACATCTTGAGGAAATGATTTGGTCTGATGAGCTGAGAGTTTGGTTATTTTTGGACTGAGGTATCGCACATTAAATTAACACTAATAAATTTGGTGTCCTGTAAAGCTTAGATCAGCACACAATCTTCTCTTTTATTTGCTGCACATTATGGAGACAAGCAATACTACAACAGTCCACATAAGAACCTTTGTAGCAACAGAAAAACTTCCTGTAGGTTTGAAATGTAGTTACTGTGACTGTGAAAACCAGTCACACTGTCTGAGTTTCCATTAACCACAGGTTAGATCGACAAACTTTTGCATCGCGAGAAACAAATAGCACCTTAAAACAGACCCTGAAAAGGTTCAGCATCAAAAACTAATAAATCCATTTTTATAATTAACGCAGTTTATTCAGAAATGAAACTGAAATTGAACTACTGAGTGGTAATGATTGGCTACGTCCACACTGCTATGTTTTCACTTTAAAACGTCCATCCAGACGACCGTTTTAGTTCTGTATCAGAAATAATCTCCGTCCACACTGACACACCTGAAAACGCACATCACATGATCATTCACGTACACTGGGCATGAGTCTGCTCGTGTAAACAGGAAGCAGATTGTCTACACCGCCGTTAATTAGTTGCAGAAAATACTGCGAACGAGGCAAAGGCAGGCTGATAAGACTCAATCAGGAAGTAATAGTGGGTGTCATTGTATACAAAGGTCTCGGTTTCACAACTGAGCACAATCCTGGAGTTTTCAAACTAAAACGGAGTCAGCAGCGCTTCCAAATCCCCGGCGTAAACGCAGCAAAAGAGACGTAGTGGTGTGGATGTAGCCTCATATTTGTGTCACTTGGGTCATTGGTTATATGAATGCAAACTAGGGTTCATTCCTGCAACATTATTGATGTGAATGTGAAATTATTAAGTTATATATTTAATATTAAAATCTGAGAAACAAACTTTTCATCTAATGTTGTTTGTTGTAGCTCAAGCCTGTATACATTGTAGAGGGTTACTGACCTTGGGAAACTGGTAGGTGATCTGAGGCTCATAGCTGCTGCCATCCCTGGTCTTCTTGAGGCTGACCACCACCAGATACTCAAAGAAGTACTGACCACTGACATAGCGGTGCTGCCTGGATGTGTTGTCTGCCTCTGCTGGGCCCGGTGACTCTGAAGGCTCCGGGTCTTTGACTCCTACAAAGAAATGTCCAAATACATTGTGCTTTAACATACAGGGTTACTGCCGTTGTCCAGACGGAAAGGTTCACATGCGTCTTTAGATCAACACTTTGTCGTTGACCTATGACGGTTCATATCACAGCAGAGCCATGCCTTCAAACACTGACTCACACTCCCTGCAGCAGAGACAGAAAACATTGATCACTTCAGTCAGAAACATCTCAGAGACGATCAAGAGAAATGGGAGGAACCTGAGCTAAATTCAAGTGTCATAGCAACGTGTCTGAATATTTATGTCAATGTGATATTTCGTTTTTCGTTTTTAATACATTTTTAAAATGCTGTTTTAGCTTTGTCATAATGGGGTATTGGGGTACTCTAACTACCCTCTCTCCTGCTCTGTTCAGTCGTCAACTGCTCAGCTTCATCCTGTGTCCTTCACAGTCTGCCAGCCTGCTCATGTGTTCTCTGCTGCATTCCTCCCTTTTTGTTTCAAATAAAAGCCCAGCAGCACAGAGCTTTTTCTTAGCTTGACAGCCTAGTGTCCCTGTGTGTTGTAGACCTACTGGTGCAAAACTGACCACACCTACATGCATGAAGACTTGATGTTGACCAATGTTAAGTTTGATGATTATTAGACTTATTTTGTCTTACAAAGGGTTTGGATTTGTTCCACCTGAAAAACCTGTCCCTCTGAGGTGACTCTCTGAAGGTGGTAGCTAATACTCAGCTCAATACAGGATCCTGTTAATTGAAAATACTGAAGAACCACAGCTGTGTCTTTTAAAAGAATATGTTCAGTGATTGTTAATTTGGTCAGCTGATCTGACGGGACAGTAAAATGAGCTGCATAGCTGCTAAATGTAATATGAATTATTATTATTACCCTATTGCAGTCTTTCCAAGCAGAAACCTCCGGGGCTGAAAAATGAAGCCAAAACAGAGGTGCCGAAAACTGCAGTTCCTTTACAGTGGTTTTGCTGTCTATTGCCAATTTCCTCCTTCATTTCAACTGTACATTAGTGAATTTTTATATAATTCAACTGCTTAAATTTTATTAAGGTTTAAAGTTATGTATGATTGAGGGCGTGGTCACCCACCTGTCACTGAGTGGCAGGTGGGTGACGTATGTTTCAGCTCCACACTCACCCCACCTGTTTGCCCATTTTTTGATTACACTGCAGTTAGGCGGAGTGAGGCACTGCCAAGATGGCGACAGCGAAGCAGCCCACTTTGGACTTCAGAGCAGCTCTTTAGAAACCTATGGGTGACGTCACGGAGGCTACATCCATCTTTATATACAGACTATGAGCTTTTCTCAAAGAGTGTTCAGCGAGTAAATTTGTTAAAATATCATGTTTTAAATTTAGTGTTTCTCAAACTGCCTGCAAGTGACCACACAAGCCTGGTAGTGAGTATTGTATAAGTGTTGTTTTCAATATTAAATCAAATCATATATAAATTCTAAAATTATTATTTTAATTGGCTGTTGTGTTGTTGGACTTCAGTGTAACCCACTGTTTTGCGACACTGTCTACTCATGTAGCTACGTCAGTTTACAGTTTATGTTTTACATCAAAAATAATCAGTGTGAAAGGAAATGTGGATGAAGGTAATGATTAACCTGCCCTGGGAATGAGCTAAGTTTCACCATTTATCAGCAGCCAAATGACTATCAAACATTGACAATGAACAAGATTGTGGACCTGGCTTAAGACTGGGTCAAATAAAATCAAATCAAAAGAAACCTCCGACACAACGGAGACAACAGGCAAGTGTTAAGTGTTAAGTTTTACTTGTAAAGTAGTCACCACGATTGAGACTCATAGTGCGTTTGATGACATGCGGCCAGTGTTCGTATGTGTGTGATAACCTTGCTATATATATATATATATATATATATATATATATGTGTGTGTACAGCACCACTTATTGCTGGACAGTGTATGAGGCACAGGAGTTATCGATAATTAAAACTCTGTCCCAGGTGACAAGCTCTCTACAATACTACTAAAGTAGTAGGTCTTGTTGGTTTTGGGGATGTTTAGGGAGTAAGGTGGTCCATGAGTGTTATTTATTTATTCATTTATTTCATTTATTATTCCTTTATTTGATAGAACCAGTAGAGACAGACAGGAAATTCAGGGAGAGAACAGGGGAATGACCCGCAAGAAATGGTCCGGCTGGCCCATCTGGTATGAGCCCTAACCATTCGGATATAAGGTCGCCCTGTGAGTTTTATTTTCATGGTTAAGTCCTTGTGCTGAAAAAGTTTGAGAAACACTGATTTATTGCATAATTTCAACAGGGTAGATTTACCCATGAGAAGATGAATAGCAGCATCAAAAGCACATGTGTGATAAGATTTGATGCTGCCATTTTTGATGCTAATCACGGTCATCAGGCACTAAAGGTTTTAGCTGTATGACGCTGCTGCTGCATCAACAACAGCTGTCTCTGTTGATAAGCAGACAAATCAGCAGTCAAATCACCATTATTAACTTCCTGTTGTTTCAGAATACAGGCATGCACCTGTCCCTTTCACTTCATACAGTACACGTCTCTCCTTCCTCACCAACCCCTGAAAAGGTGCGCCACACACCTCGCCTAAAACCTACGTTCTAGCTATCATAACAAGTAATTTAACCAGCACTTCCTGGAAGAGATGCAAGTGAGGAAAACAAGAAGCCATGTTGAAAGCACCCAGCGTCTGCAGCAGCACTCAACAGCTTACAGAAGCTTTTGGAAAAATATCAGTGGTCATGTGACCTTTAATCACAACTTCACCAAATGCCCAGCACCAACTCTTTCGAAAACCTGAACCATTTTTCTGCAACGTAATACTCACTATCTCTTTTGCCTTTGCGGAGGGAGGACCACATGGCACTGAACCTCTTGAGGGCCCCTTGTCGTCCACCTTCATCTTCACTTGATGGGATGGCACCTGAAAAACAAAACCGGGATGCTGCTCATTATTGAAACCTTCACACAACAACATCAGCTTCCCCAATGTCCCTCGGCTGGTTTGAACGTCCTGCAGTATTCTGGTTGATTAGACTCAAGTCTCAGGTTGGAGCCAAGTGACACAGTTGGGTCAGAACTATGTCACCAACATCCATACTGAGCATACAGATCAAGCAGAGAGAAGTGGATTATGCTGCAGAAATGGATGTTTTGACACCTTCTTTGACTTAGATGTGCCATTGAAAGCGACTGTAACAGCTACAAACTTCAGACCCATGTTTCAAGCCTATAGGTGAAGAGTATTAATAGGACAGGACAGGGTTTTGATGGAGTAATCCTCCAGGACGGATTAGATGTAAAATGACAAACCTATATTTGACTAACTAGTTTAATAAAAAGACGGAAAATCTTATCTTCTCAGTCAAAAGGAAAGTGAATAATTGAGAAAATTGTTGGACTCCAGTGACTGTACTTACTATCTTTCTCAGCCATGTCAGAGATGAGGTTACCTCTGGGCTGCTCACCTGTACAACATAGATAAAGATTTAATGAATAAACAGCTGTGAGACAGCCTCTTTCCATTCCTGATGTACTGGGAAAGATTAGGACTTTTACCATGGCTGCCATCGTGATATGGCATGCCACAAACAAACTTCAACCTCGCTTATTAAATTGAAGCTTGCTACACAAGTACAGCACTACAACTTCATCTCAAACAACATGAGGGTAGGATGGAGCATGAGATTGACAGGCGGTGCAGCATCAGCAGTAAAGCATTTACTTCTGCTAATTCCACGTTAGCTGTTGGGACATGGGCCAAACTAAAACATCAAGTATACAACAAGTATACATCAAATACATTTTTTCCCAAATATAGTTTCTGTCATTTTAGTTAGTTCTTCTCATTTTTTCACCTGTTTAACTGTTTGACTCATGTTTGGGTGGGACCTTGATACTGTGGCTACACTTCCTGATCACTACCGCACATGAGCATAAGGATCTATAATTGAGTACGCATAGATGGGAGCAGGCCCAGAAGTCACTCTGAAGGCAGCATTAGTGATCTGAATTTGATTCAGCCGGTGAAGGTTGATTTGTAGTGGAGTGACATGTGCCCTTTTAGCCTGATCGAAGGCCAGACAGGGCTGCTGCATTCTGGACCATCTGTAAGGGTTTCACTGTGCACAAAGGAGGCATGTCAGAAGGGCATGAGACATAATAGAGGTCATGTGATGGAAACAGTGTTGAAATACCAGATGGATGTCACATTTCTTTACTTTCATTTTGTTTACAATTAAAATGAGAGCAGATGGTGAAAATACTACACATTATTATAGTACCTTCACAATCAGGCTGTGGCCACGAGTTACTCATTAGCTTTACTTTAAGCAGCCAAATAGCCTAAAGCAAATGTTTGCAGAGCATTTGGGAGAACAGAGAGAGTGGTCTGGAATAGTGGCCAGATACTTGAAACTGACAAAGGTCTGAATTTTGAATGTCAAGTTAGTAATAACTGAAGCTGAAAATAAACTGTGGTAAAGGTCCTTTGAGGGAATCGCTTGAGGGGAACTAAGTGCAGAGTGCTGCGTGTCGGTCAGGCAGATTCATTGTAATGCTGGTTAAGTCTGAGGTGAAACTAAGCCTGAAAACTAGCTTGACCAGGACTAGGCTTGTCTGGAAGGTCAGACTGATATAAACCTGCTTTATGAAACACCGGCTTGAGTAAGCAGGCTTACTCTGGTTATCCTGCTTTCAGAAACACGCCACAGATACACAAATACCTGATAATGACCCGCCTCAACCGAGCCACCAAGAACATTCAACCACCAACACAAAAGCAAAAACAAAAATCAGCCGCAGTTGCCACAACAGTGACAGGCGATGACTGCCCAGACACACAGACTGTTGTAGAATATAATCTTATTTATTTACATTGGTAATCACAATGTACTAAAGCAACCATCAATAACATCTCCCTGTTGTCTGACAGTCTAACAGTCTGCTGAATCATTTGTTTACTTCAGACTCTTGAGGAAAGAATTTTCACAGTTGTGCTGCATTCAGGTCATGTGGGATAAAACAGGTTTCTACAGGGAAAACCTATCTCAACTTACAGATGGTAAATAAACAGCAGTAGGAAAAATATGGGAAACACTATTCAGAAATTGTAATTCATGTCAGGCTTCAGTGTATGACTATGTTAGGAAAAAAACCTTTACCTTAACTTTCAGACACTTAACCTCACTTGGAAATGGATTTTAGTGATGGACTGGTGTTAAAAAAAAAGGAAACACCACAAGTCACAACTCTGAAAATGTCACTGCAGCAAGAGAAAGGAAAAGAGATACCTTGCTGGAAACTGGCCTGAGTGAAAGTGAAAGTGAGCAGATCTGGTGTTGCTCAGAAATTCTAAGATGTCTCATGTTTGGGGCTCAGAAGTATCAAAAGTAAGTTATTACTCAAAATTAAATTTTATTTATTTATTTATTTATTTATTGAGAGAGAGAGAGGAGGGAGAGAGAGAGAGAGAGAGAGAGAGAGAGAGAGAGAGAGAAGAGGATGACATGCAAAAAAGTTCCAAAGCCAAATCAGGGATGTTGCGGTTAATGTGGTATGTGGCCCAGACAACAGGAGTTTTGGTCCTGATTCTCCCCTCCCAACAATCAGAGGAGATATCCGGTCCTAGACATTGGTTGATACTGATGTTCGTCCCAGATTATCTTAACATCAGATTTGTTTTCAGCACACGCAGTGGACAGCTGGCAGATGGTGAGGGGACATCGACTGAATTTGACAAAAAAAGTGTATTGGATCACAATCACTTACTCCACCTTTAAAGCATAGATCAAATAATGTTATTTCTTCGATGGAAATCAACTATTGTTCAGAAAGTTCGTCCCAACACTGTTGCTAGAGTTCCAACTAATGTGTGTCACTTGCAGGTTTGCTTTTCTTTCACCTTATGTCCAGTTCATCCTGTTGTGGCTCATTATCTTGCTGTATGATGAACAACTGTCTAACCAGTCCGTCTTCTTTGTTACTTCCTTTTTTCTTTCCATTATGACCACAGTAAACAGTTCTACTTCCTGCAGTACAGCACCACCTTAGTACAGACATCAACAAAAGTTGTTGCATCAACTTTTGTGATTGGACCTGTAGAAATTGTAATGCTAAATGGTAAATGGACTGCACGTGTAGCGTCTTCCTACTCTGATCGACCACTCAAAGCGCTTTACACTACAAGATACATTCACTCATTCACTCGCACGTTCATACTGCACTTTTCTATCACACATACTCACACACTCATGATACATCAGGGGCAAGCGTGGTGTTCAATATCTTACCGAAGGACACTTTGACATGGAGACTGGAGGAGCTGGGGATCAAACCATTGATTCTCCGATAACTGGACGACCCGCTCTACCCCCTGAGCATTAACTTTCAATGCTTCATTTACTTCAATTGTTGCAGGAAAAAGGATTTTTTTTTTCTTAACCTTACCTTTATACCATTTGAGATTATTCACGGGACATGAACTGCTTAAGTCTCAATAAAAACTGAAAAAATGTTCTAAAACTTTTGACCAGTAGTGTACTTGTTAACTTAAAAAGAGCACATACTGAACATTAAGAGTGATTTCCACTCAATGTATCCTAGATGACCTACAGCTGGAGCAGACCAAAAAAAAAAAAAAAAAAGAAAAAAAAAAAACTCCCACTAAACTTTGTCCTGGTTTCAATTTTAGTCTGGCTCCCGACAGCCTTTACTTAAGCCACAATACATAACCTCTGCTGACAGAACAAGGTGTTTGCACTTGGTTGATACCAGTGGATGTGGTTGCTCACCCATCGCCTTGCAGTTGCACAACTTTGCACTCAGTTAGCTGCGGTGGAACACAAAAACTATATTAGATTGTAGTATCACTTTTAACTCTTGTCATGGATAATTACAGAGCAGCCTTTTCGTTTGCTTACATGCTCCTGCCTGGTTGTGCTGCTGCTGCTGCTCAGCACTGATGTGGGTGTAAATAACAGTCCTGTTAAACAGCTTCACACCCTGAGGCTCCTGAACATGTTACAACACCATACTGTCAAATAAGGAAAGAAACTGCACAGTCGCTAAGGCCAACCAAAACTACCTGAATCCTGTTCATGTCTTTTTAAATTCAAGTACCTGAAACCTGTTTATTCAAAATGAAATATGTCCCTTATGTGTTTATCTATTTGTCCAGTTTTATCCAAAAATAGCAGTTTTTAGCTTTTTGACTTTACTCTTTGATGTAAAATATGAAAGATGGCTTGATCGCACCAGTGTTTCAAACTGACTATATAAAGAGAGATATTTTTTACATTTTGTCATTTCAACTGTCAATTCCAACTTGTACACCTGAACTCATTAAATAGCTAAGAGTTGATGCACTAAGATAAAGGACAAGGTAATAGGTATGAAGGGTTCAAGTTAGGACACATGCTTAAGTGCCAAACGTCTGATTTTGGATTGCATTGTTAAAATGCTGGTTTACTGGGGTATAACACCAATTTAACTTCGTATATCCACCTGTCACCAAAGGAAACAACATACTAAACTGCATTTTAAAATAAGCAAAATTTAATTCCGCTCTACAAAACAAATCATTGCAGTACTTTATTCAGTTCGACGTGTTCAATATTTCACCAGGCTGCACTTTATGATATTTAGCCCCAAATATTTAACTAGAACAACATAGAGAAGAGGGTTGTTAGTTTACTAATGTAGTCAGAAGTCTAGCTGAGGTGGTGGACCACAGACCCGGATATAAAAGTGGGCACAAACCTGTTCGACACAAATATCAGCGCACGTTCTGACAGGTAAAACAACTATCCGTGTTTGTTGATAAAAACAACCAACAGCAAAACAAATAACGTCAGAGTTTTTTATCCACGCGTAACAGACTACTGCTGTCGCGCGGGCTTTATGTCTCAACATCAGGTGAACCCAGTCAGTCAAATAAATGACAGTGACCTCGGCTGTGTAAGCTGTACTCACTCCATCTGTTCTTTAAAGGTCCTTTTCTCCTCCTCGTCACCGTTTCACTCATTGCTGCTTAACTCCACAGGCACACTGTATTCCTCTGAGCACACTCAGTAACACAACTGCGGGACTTCGTCGGCTCCATTCCGGCACATAAATTTCATCCTGACTCGCGCTCACCTCCGGTCCGCGTGCATCACAGGCTGAAACAGCTCTGCCGCGGCTGTGAGCAAACCACAGCGGAGCTCTCCGGTGCTGCGTTCAAGTCATGTGCGAAAAACGGAGTACCGACTGCTGTTTTAAAAGTTCAGCGTCGATTGTTTGTAATAGGGAACCTGGTTTGCTGCCAGTAAACAAAAGCAGGTCAGTCACATTAAGTTAAAAACAATTAGACAGGCAAAGCAAACTTCCCAGTAAGCACTCCAGTCCTGACAGTTAACTTGTGTTAAAAGTGCTCATAGAGGACAATACCAGCAGAAATAAGACATGATTTATTGTTTCAAGTAACCTTGAAACAACAAGCAGCCAGTGACTTGGCTGAGTTGTGAATTGGCCAGAAAAGCTTTTATCTTCCTAGGAACCTGTTAAATGTCAGAGAGCATAACTTTCACTTTAACCCCACTTCAACAAACTTCACCATGTGAGGTGCTCTGTGACTCTTCCTAAGGCTAAACACATCCGGATTTCCAAGGAACAAGCTACTCAGAACCACAGCACATTTGACTATATATCAAAGCATTTATGACAAATGATGATGATGAGTTAGATTTGACCAAAAAAAAGGCTCTGCTACCTGGGGAGCTTTCTGTTGATTCTGCTGGAGAACTAACCCTCAATGCAACCCAACCCAACCAGTGCATTAATATTAAATTTTAGTTTAAGCATCAATTTCAGCAGAGTAAAGGTGTGTTAAGACACCAAAGCAGACTTCCCCTTAGGGTTCTGTCTGAACACACCTTAATAGCTTAAAGTATCAGGTTTTAATTGCTGAGCTCACACCTGTATGAATATAATTAGATTTTACTAGTTTGCTGGCAGCCAAGCAGCTGAATCCATGAGGGTTTAGGACTGTCCAAGTGTCAAATCATCAAGCCCTTTATGCACACTTTCCAAAAGTTTGCATTTCTGCAGGCTTTGGCTCAGGGAATTACCCAAAGTTCACAGTGTTGTGATGTTGAACATGGGGTTACCCATGGTAACCGGGGGAAGCCCGGAAACATTAAAAAAAATGAAAATAACCTTTGTAGCCTCACACACTCAATAACTTACCAGGTGAAGTCAGTTAAGTCTGTGAAGGTTCAGGCTTTAGGGGGAACATTGGGATTGGGCCAGTGATAGTGAAGCATGAATGAAACAGCTGATCTGCTAAGTGCGACTTCAGTGCTCTGCTTTAGGAAATAATATGGACCATTTAGTTTGCCACGCTTTGACATGTCCTCTTAATGTTCATGGTACCTTGTAGCATACCTGTCCTCTTCATCTGGTCCCGAGTACTGTGTAGTTGTGAGGAACCATCTTCATCTGGGTCCCACTCTAGGATTGAAATGCAAAAATAAAATGAAGATCCTGAGGTGTACAGGGTTTGCATTGAAAACTGTTGATGTTGTCCCTAAGGGAACAAACTGATCTGTCATATTATTGTATGAGTATGTCTGTGATTACTGTCATCTCCTTGGTAGATTTAACAAAGTGAAAGAAACTGACTGAATGAGAATTATGAAAGTACTGTCTGTTGTTATTTACCCTTTCTTGATGTCTCCCGGACTGATGAAAAAGACAGCAATCCTCTCCGCTGTTGAAATGCACCCTCTCTATAACTGTTGGGCCTTTCTGTAGGAAATTCACATTGAAATGCAGTAATGAAAGAGTTATCTGTCAAGGAAAGGTTCATTTTACATATCTGTGAATGTGTTTAATATGATCCACCATCTTACTTTTAATCCGGAGAGATGAGAAGCTGAAACTCCTCCTTGTGTTTTGAGGCAGTTTTTGCTCCACATTCTGACAGAAAAAGGAATAAAGATACATTCAAATAAAATATAAGAAGAAAAATTTTCTGCCTCGCCAGCAAAAGAAATAAAGTTCTTTGTCAGTCCGGAAACTAATAAAAATATAAAATATTAGTAAAAATAGTAAAATATTCCATTAGGACCCGAGCACTGAGGTGCACCAAAGGTGAAAGGAACATATTGTTTTTGAAGAGATCATTATTATTATTGTTCTGCTGGAAAACTGGCTCAGTTGTGGCCAGTGGGCTCCATAGTGCCTCAAAATGCAGGGTCATATTGGGATAAAGGAAAGACTTTTACTCATACACAGGAAGTGGTGCTGTGTCTTTACATTGTTCTGTCAGTTTGCTGTAACACACCAAAGTTCTGTCACACTCTCTGTGACACTGAGCGGCACTTTTACACAAAACTGAAAAATACTTTTTTTTAGAAAGTAGTTTGAACTACTTTTTCTAACTAGCTTAAGTTAACTAAACTAGATTTCTCCCTGGTGTAGGTTTGCTGTAGTTCAACATCTTCAAGTGTTAAGTAATCAGCTTGCAGAGCTATGTTTTCAAAGTAACTTCTCCAACATTATCTAAATGTAATACTGTACATTTCCCACTTATCTTTTGTAGTAGTTACTCAGACTGTCAAAAGGTATTTTATGTAAATAGTATATTTGTCTGAGCTTATCAGACCATATGTACAGTCTCACACTGTCTTGTCTTTACTTTGCTTTAATAGCTTGTTTGCTCTGCTGTGGCCTTTAAAACCCACATCAGTGTCAAGCCCAAGTCACTGACACACACTGAACAGGATTAGTAAAGCATAACAGTGTTTGTAATATTAGTTGGTTAAAGTATTAAACTGTGTCTGCTTTCTGTTTTTGTTGTTAGAAATTACATATTTCAGTTTCCTTTAACACCATTAGTAAGAATTTAACACCTTTAACATTTGCTATCAAGTCATTGAAAACTTTCCTGCAGGAAAAAATCCTCTGGAACAGGAAGTGATGAGTTATATGCTTCTCATTTGTTTTGAATAAATTAAAGAGAAACTGAGTAGTGAGCATGTGCAGAGGAGGAAACCAAGCAGAGAGCACCACCTACAGTGGTCTCAGGCTTTCGGACCCCGCAGTAGCACCCTGGCTGCTCAACCACTCATCGCCAGATTGTTCAGTCTACTCAGCAGTAGCTATGCTCTCGTCTCTACAGTAAAACTTTCTTGTGTTAATCAGTTGTTATCCTCCAACTCGTCTCCTAACCTGTGTCTCTTTATGCCCAGAATACCAGTGCCTGCCTTCATTTAGCCTTCACTACCCACACCTCCACTGCTCCCTTCATCTCCAGCCGGTCCCCGCCATTCCCAGCTTCACCCCCCCACTACTCGTTTGTTTTATTACTTTAGATGATGGTGTGTAAGAATGCTGACAACAGTTTGTCTGTTAAACACCAGCACTGACAAAAGTTCAAAATTACACCAACACCTCTAAAGATCACTGCTATCTTTTTTCATATGGTCTATCCACAAATTAAAATGTAAAAACGACAATTTGTGGTTTGAGGGAGAGTTTCATATTAGAGTTACTTCCTGACAAACAACAGTGTTTCCATCCACCCAGCTTTGGGACAGATTGTCAGTTATGGTTGGTGAGTTCAGGCTTTGTTTTTGGCCTCTGTACAGACATAATGGGTCAAACCTGACGACCTCACTATGAAAAGACTTTACTAAGCCCTGCACAGTTACTACAGGTTGGCTGCTCCTTGTCAAGAAATTGTTCCAGCACACAGCTCCACCTAAAACCACACATTGTCACTTTTACATTGTTTGTGTTTGGATTAAACAAACATGATGCTTCAGAGGCATCAGACTGAACTTTGGACAGAGCAAGGCTACCTGTTTCCTACTGCCTTCAGTCTAAATACTGAGTTAGGCTAACGACATCCTGCCTCCAGCTCTGCACAAGTATATTTCCCAAAATGTTCAACTACTTGATCAAGTCAGGTTTGGGCCTCTCAGTGGTAGTATATAAAAAAGACACTGTGTCATACTGTGTCACATAATGCACACTCGACACTAACTCCTCCACACCCCAAAACAGACAATAGCATTAGAATAAGACCATTCAGATCCCTCTGTTGTCTCTCAAACAGCACATCAGACCACTGACATGCAGATGTTATTTGAGGCCTCAGGTGAGCGGTTGTCAAGATGCTTTGAGGCCTGTACACACATGTCCTTCCTCTGGCTAATCATTCACTTCAAACAACAGATGGCACTTACAATGACCACGCCTGTGAACACACAATACGCAATGTCGTTTGTGCACAAGAGATACATGTTTATGACTTCTTTAGTTCATCTCTACAGCAGGAGGGTACCACTGACATTGTAGAGCACCTTCATTGGGCAGAAAAGTTTCGACTTTTCTTAATTTAAATGATTTATAAAGTGCGAAGCTTTCAGTTGCAGTGTGTTCCACTCTTCATTCCCAACCTGGCAAAGCAGACAGCTGCCAGTGGTGTAGTAAATACCATGAGACACTCACAGCCTCCATTTTTCTGAAAATGAGCACTTTTATTTTTGACACTCTCTTGACTCTCACCACCCACCAGAGCATGCGGTGGAGGTTATCAAAACCCTATGCCATTGGGCTCTGAGTGTGTCAACGAGGACAGAGGTGGGAGGAACAAAAACACATCAGGGTGGCACTGAAAAAGTGTGGTTAAGATCAAGATAGATGGGAAGATGCAGAACAGACAACAACGATAAACAGAACAACAATGTAATTCCTTACATTGCTGCAATATCTGAAAAACTGTGATCTGTCCACCCTGAGGACAAAACACCCTGGCATAAGCAGAGCGATGTAGTGTACACAGTACACAGACCTGTACACTGGGGAAACAAAACAACCACTTCACAAGTGCATGGCACAAACACGGGAGAGCCAACTCCTCAGGTCAGGACTCAGCGGTCCACCGACATCTGAAGGATAAGGGACACTCATTTTGTCCAGAGAGGGCCGGTGGTTTGAAAGAGAAGTGAAAGAAGCCATCTACGTCAAACTGGATCGACTGTCACTAAACAGAGGAGGTGGTCTCGAGTCTTGAGATCCCTCCCCAGACAACCGAACACCCGACCACACCATGGCTTAGGTGACACTTACGGCTAAATTGTGATCTCAACCCCACAGGAGGTGAAACGCCTGGAACTCCCCACCAGCCAGTTAGAACTGAAGCCTTTCAGATGAGAAGTGAAACGTCCAGTTGCTTTCGTACAGCTCAGAGAGATTCAGCTGTGAGGGACATTATCCAGATCACAAACATCTGGGACTGACCAACAAAGATGAAAATATATGTTCAAATAAAAATATATTTTTTAACCATTTTTGCCATTGCATGTTATTAATGGAGAAAGTGGTGGCTACATGTGTACATTATTTTACTGGTGGCCATTATCAAAGATACACTCATTGTAAAGAAGCAGGAAGCAACGCTGGCAGTTTGGACACGTGTGGGCCTCAGTAGCTCAGCGAGGTTGCGTCAGGTGAAAGTGAGCTAAGAGGTGTGGCCCAGGGACAGGCCCAGGACTGAGGTCTGTCAACTCACTGCTGCTCACTATATTATCACTGGTCCAAAACAACCCAGGCCACCGGGAAAGGTCCCAGTGCTCCAGACCAGTATCTATATCTTGAAACAACAGAATAAGGCAGTTTGCGCTGCTAGAATTATGAAAAATTGTTTGTAGGAAATTTTGAAATTAGTTCAGTTGCATCAAAATAAGTTGAAATATTCCTACTTGATCTTTTCCTAATAAAAGCTGCAGATAGTTTATATGAAAAATAATCAGCAAAATATGTAAATTAACTTTTTGCAGCTGTTAGAAAAAATGCTGAGGAGCAGAAGTAAAAAGTAGCTGGAAATGGAAACAATAATAAAGCAAGTAAAATACACATCTGTAATTAAGTACAGTAGCTTAGTATAGTTATTATTTTCACTATAATTCCACCCAGAAGTGACACAAGGACAATGTGTGAATATTCTGGTCATGGGTTTCAAACAATAGCCCCGCTCCCAGTGTTACATTGGGACATTATCCATATAATCCTGAGAAAGTGAAAGTGGGAAAAGTATCAGTCTGCACCTGCTCTGTAATCAAACTTTGTGTTTTTGTTTCACTTACACAATGACGGTCTGATGTAACTGTAACTACTCTGGTGGGTAGAAAACCTTTTAAAGTGAAGTGATAGAACTGGTTTTATAACACAATTAACTGTGTTCAGTGTGTGGTTTGTAATCAGTTCTAGGTTTTACAACACTTAAACAAACTGTTGTTTAATTGTTTAGTTTTCTAGCTGAGACAGGTGCACAGGAAGTTGCAGGAGCTGCTAGTTGAGTGGAGTAGTTTTTTTAGGGTAATTTCACTGAGAGGCAACGTCTGTTTTACAGTATACCAATATTTTTTCTGTAAACATACAACTCCCCACCCGCCCCCCGCGCCCCGCACCCCGCACCCCACCCAACACCCCAGAATTAACATCAAAATGGTGTGAAATCACAGGAAGTAAAAGTGAAATTGTCAAGAACAAAGTTCTCTATTCCTCCTGTCATGTGATATTCACAGGAAATGTCAGTTTCTCTAATGTTTTCTCTAATGTAATCTCTTTACATTTCACTGCGTAGTTTTGTTCTAGTTAACTAATTGCCACTGACTGTTGTAGTGCGCCTTCATTCTGAATTCAGTCAGTCTTTTGCAAGGTCGGCATGCAAGTGTCATGTTACAAGTATATTCAAACAAATAATGCAGCTTCAAATTCAAAACACAAAATGCGTAGAACACACTCACCACCTTTGCTTGCTGTGACATCTTGTCTTGGCTGAGCAGATGAAAGAAGTGTATTAAGCCACTGGATCCACTGTCATGTGCTGGTTTTGACACTACTTTGATTTAGTTCTTCATCAGTAAGTACAGGCTAAAGACTCTTCCATCCTATGCACAGTCACCTCGTGTGCAGCTGGTAACGGTGAAACAGCAAGTGTATATGTATGAGGAAGTGCGGGTCTTGAAATGTGCAGTTGATGGACTTCAGTCTGAGGCTGGGATTTCCTCTTTCATTGCTAAAAGACAGTGACGTAGAAACCACAATGTGGGAGTGTGAATGTGTGTGTGTGTGTGTGTGTGTGTGTGTGTCTGCATACGTGTCTATTTTGTGTGTGAAGTGAAACCTGTTCATCCACTTTTGAAAGCAGTTAAAACATGTATTACAGGAAAATTGTACAACTGTTAATACTGTGTATATTCACTCTATATTCTATATACCTGAGTCTGCTTGTGTTAGCAGTCCGATGCTAACTAACTCAAGTCAAGTTTATTATTTGTACAAGACTATTATATACTGTGTATATGTGTGTGTGTAGATAATGCATATATACATGTTTACATACACATATACATATAGGCTGCTGCTCTCTGATAGGACGGTTCATAACAGTTTTTACACCTGTGAAAAAGAAGAACTGAATCATAGGGGAAACACCATAATCTGTACGGCAGAGTTCTCTGCCTTTTTTATAGCCGAGTTCCTTGTTTGTAGGTTTTGAATTTAGCAAAAATGGGTCATGGACAATTACTGGAGGGATTCTTTCCTTCACCACTTACAAGATGTGACAAAATAATTATTTTTTCAAGGAAGAATGGTGCTTTTTGTTTTAATGTATAGTTATTACACTGCAATGACAGATGGGCATTGTTAGTGTGTATCAATGCTGATGCTCCTACTGGGGAACACTTTATATTAAGGTCTTGTGGGTTATGAGCTGTTCCCCTTTCCTCCACACTTTCCTCCTTCCATCATTTTGACAGATGTCGATTTCAGTCATAGAAATTAGTTTGAACCTGTCTCCTGTGCAGGTGATAAAGTTCATTTAACAGTCGGCAAACTGAAAATACCTAACTATAACCTACTGAATAAATAATGTTCAAATACCAATAGAAGCTCCAGGCCACAGGTGCGTATCAGGATTATGGTCCAGGCACCGGTACCAATTTAAGATCTCTAGCTGTGATCACAGCATCAGTCTTTCTTCAACTATCACATATGGCTGTAATGTTCGGGTCTTGCACACCCCCAACACACTTCCTTCAGGTGTCCACATTCTGTCCACAAAGTGCATGTCTGCTGCTAGTCTGCCGCAAAACTTACAACCCCCCCTTCTTAATTACAATCACTCTCTGTGCATTATACTGTGTCACCGACACCAGTTTTACTCATCTGTCTCTTCCTGTAAGAAACTTTGGTTCCTCTTCCTTCCTTCAGAGTGTTAGGACCTGCCCTTCTCATATCTTTTATACATGTAGATAATAGTGTGATGATAAAGTCTCCATAATAGTGTGATATACATATAATTTACTATGTTCTGGAGCAAGATCTGACTTCTTAGTGAGCTTCATTTTCTTGGAATAGATCTGTTGGCAGAGCAAAGGAACTTATGCAAATCATCAGCTGTTTTGCAACTGTGGGGAGGGTACATGCGTGCATGTGCGTGTACTTCACGGTTTATATGTTGCACATCTCAAACGGTCTGTGTGTAGAATTTGTTATGTGTGCAGGGACAATGGCAGACACTGACCTTCTGAAGTTGGACAGAACATGTTGAGAAGAAGAGTGTAGAGCGTCTGTGGCAGGAACAGTTAATGCTGAGAAGGTCTGGCTATCAGATGAAAATTTCCCTCCTTTTTAGTCTGAGCAAATTATGTAGATTGGTGTTAAGTAAAACTCAAGTATTTCTCTAAAACAAAAGCAAAGCTAACAATTGCCTTCAGGTGTTAGTTTAACAGCCACAAAATTCACCAGAACTCTATGGTTAGATCCCACTTGATTTACAGTAGCCAAATAACCAACCGGCCAAATTATGCTAAATCCTGATTGGTGCATGAAAGTATGTGACATCATGGTCCCTCACATTTCAGACCTGTGAAAAGAGCAGAGAGAAAAAAAAGAAACAGATAGTAAAGCATTTCTGGTCCTTTGAGTGATGCACCTCAGCTCTAGAGACCGGTGGTGTTTCAGAATTAACAACGTTCTGACTTCACAATGTTGAACACAGGGGCCCTCTGGTGGATTAATGTACTGGCCCCCATGTCTGACTAAGACGGATTTCAGGTCTTCTGTTAATGATCTGGTGAAGTGTGTGTTCAGTGACTACAATATTAACCTCTGGGATTGTAGATTGTACATTGTTCCTGGATGAACCAAGATTAACTAGGAAAATAGGAGAAGATGAAGAAAAGGAAAAAAAAAATTCTATGCAAGAAGATGAAAAGTTTACAATGAGATCAGTTGACTAATCACTGCACAGCTCCACAGTGAGGGGGTGTTACCATTCAGTGAAACACTCCTCTCTGCTCGGAGACAGTCTGCAGGATGGAGGAGCGATGACTGCAGGAAGCAGCCTATGTTGTTCCAGCCAACATTTTCATAAGGTTGGTTGTAATGACCATTTCATGTCACTAGGGGGCAGTACCAGGGGATAAACTCCCTGTCGCAGTTGGAGGAGATCATACACATGTTACAAATACTGAAGATATAAAAACAGAACAAGTAGTGAAAGTGTGGAGATAGACGAGCAGAAATCCAAACAACATGATTATGTCACTGTCATATCTCTTCCGACGGAGGTGTTCCTGCCTGTCACTCGTCCTGTGATGTGATACTGCACAAACTGGATCAGGACGTCACTCAGAGCCACACAGTCTGGACATGTCGGAGAAATGGGTCACAGACAAGGACTAATCACAAAGTCCTTGTCCCACAGGGTGGAGTTTCATTGTGCCTCTGGTCCAACAGCACGACACTGAGCACATCAGAGATAAATCATTTACATAACGGCTGCTGGGGTTCAAACACTCAAAGACAGCTCCTGTATGAGCAGGGTTCGTCAGGGTTGTCCGTTCGTCCGTCCCATTCTCATGAACGCGCTATCTCAGTAACATCTTGAGGGAAATTTGGCACAGACATTCACTCGGACTCACGGATGAACTGATTAGAATCTGGTGGTCAAAGGTCAAAGATCACTGTGACTTCACAAAACACGCTTTTGGCTATAACTCACACACTACTAATGAAACGACTTTTATGCAACTGTCAAATGGGATAAGATGGTGAAGGGATGACGTTTAATATCCGAAAGGTCAAAGGTCAATTTCACTGTGACATCATAAAGTTCTGCAAAAACAGTGTCATTTTCAATGCTATGACTCAGGAAGGAAAGATTGTGATCATATTTCCTGCAACTTGACTGATTGGTGGAGGAAACAACAACGAGGTGGTGATTCTAGTTACACTTGAAGTCTGTTCCCCTGTGTTTTATGGGCATAAAGTCAACGACTGCGTATAGGACTCATTTTTGTGCCTAAACCAGACCAAACCTGAAAGAATAAGAGCTTCAGGACAAAAATACTAAAATGTCTTCGCAGGAGGCCAGTTGTTCATCAAATGAACTGTCATGTCATTTCCGTTTAATTTAACAGAGATGTCTGGAAGAAGTTATGAAAGCAACAGATAAAAGAAAGGTCAAAAGACTAAGTGACTAAAAAAATGTTTCTGAAGATGAGCCACTCTCTGCTCTTCACACTTTATCATCTGTGTTACTAATCTTAACAGTGTACCCAGATTAATCACTATCAACTGTGCACTTGTGTTATTGTCATATTCATTCATATTCACTGCAGTGTTTTAAATCCTGCATCATTTACATCCGTGTTAACCAGGTCACAGTCTTCCTCTTCTCTACCTTTGCTGGTGCACTGTTATGTGTCATATTCATGTCATATTGTTTAAAACATAATTACAAGCAGCCAAGTGGGAACTCTGATATTCCAGCCTCCACCTTGTAATTATAAATCGACATTGGGAATTTCTGACAGTGACAGTCTCCCCCACAGGCACATCAAAACACTGTTGGCAGAAGGGCAGTTACATCCAAATAAAATCCTCCACACTGTCTGAACTCTAATTCAATCCAGTCACCTCATTTTATAGCAGCTTGACACTGGCTTTTTGTATCTAGTTTCCCTTGATAACAAGGTGATGTAACACAACAAAAGAAGCTAATTCAGTTTCTCCTGGAGCTCTTCGAAAAAAGACAGACTGTCTCTACGGCATGACAGCTAACTGTTAGCATACTGACAGGTTATGTAAAACAGAGCCCGCCAGCGTCATAGCCTATGATGCTTGCATGACTCATAGGCTACAACAGCTTTGACAACGACACAAACAGACCAATTAGTGTTGAATTCAGATGCATGCTGCATTGTTTATGTTTTTGTATATAGGTAACTGGCTATTTATTAAGAAGATATACTAAAACTCACAGCTGAGAAGCCAACTACACCATTGAAGCACTGGGACTTTTCTACCTTTGAAATAGCACCGAGAGGTTCGAGTGTGATGTTGCATCAGTATACCAAGGTCTGGATCTCCACCTGTATTAGGTATTTTGATTTTTCCAGCATTGGGTGATGTGCACTAACATGTAATGTGGGTAAATGTGTTAAATTACACCACCATATAAGTCAAGTTAAAAAATCATAGCAGGAATTGCATAACTCTTAATATGACTCACTGAAGTAAAGGAAGTTTACAGAGGTGCAAATAGTGTAGTCACTTCCAGTTTGTGAATATAGTGTGAACAATGCTGCCCTCTAGGGAGCTGAACCTTCACCGCACTAGGATGCTGGCAGTGGGACATCCTCAAAATGTCTCTTTCTTTGGGACTGTAACACCTCCTGAACTAGTGATTGCTGTCACCTGCAGTGAAGGTCCAGTGTAGACAGCCAGACAGACACTGTCCTGTGTTGACGGCAACAAAACTAAGCATGTGGTTGGTGGTTGGAGGCCAGTTTGTCCCACTGGCTTAATCAAACATGAACACTGCAGATAAGGAATCTCAGTCCAGCACTACAGAGAGGACGGAGGGGGATGTTCACTGTCATCTCGCTGTGAGGAACAAAATGTAATA